ATCTTTAAAAATCACAGGGTTAAAATACTGTAAGTTGTTGCAAAGAGGGTACAAAAGCCTGGGTAACACAAATTGAAATTGCTTATTAAACCTTGCTGGTGTTTTACTCATCCATTTTTAATCGTGCACTAACAATATTTAATATTATGCGTAGATTTAGAAAATAATATGTTTTATTTTTCTGAGGGGAATAGTATTTTTACTGTGCTGTAGTTTGTTTATTTTCCAACAAACACATAATGCCATCATCTACTGTATTTCTTATGATTTTCAGTAGGATCTTTTTTCTTTTACTTCCGGAATAGTGTAAATTCAGAAACGGATTGAATATATTTTAACTGAAATGCAGTCTGTAATTTGATCAAAGGAGTTTATTTGTGTTTGAAAGGCTCAATGTTCTTGGCATTTTTGTCTTTTTAAGTGTGTAGCAGTGCTGAATGTGGAGCGTCTTAAATATATACCTAGAGTCCTGGCACTAAACAACCTGTGTTTAGAAGTATTTGATCAACAGATGCAGTGCGAGGAAAAACAAATATAACAAAGGCCCAGCTGGGTAGATGCCACATCTTACTTACTTGTAGGGATGGGTGAATTTTTTATTTCATATCTCTAAAACAAATGTGCTACAGGAGTGATGGCTAAAAAACAGCTTTCCTTGCTTTTGGCTTCAGTCCTTAAGCAAATGATGTTACTTAGAGTTTTCTGTGCAGGACACTGCTCATACGTTTTACAACATGGAAATATTTTAGTTCTCTGGATAACTCAAACATTGTTAGAATGAACTAGCATCCCGTTCTGAACTTCTATGTTCCATTATCAGAGTGCCTGGAGTTCCTTCCTGGTTTTATTCACACTCCGCTGTAATTACCAGAGTTACATAAAATTCCCAGATCTCGCATTGTTCTGCTTGCATCGGTTGACACCAGCTTCCTTTTGTCACGCCTGTATTGTTTATGGAACCTGTCTGCATACACTTTTTTTTTCTTTATCTACGCCGGAGCTTCACCTGAATTCAGTCTTTGCAATGCCAAAAAGAAATGCACTAGGTCTAAGAGACCAAAAGAAAGAAATGCACAAGAAAATACAGGTACTAAGAAGCCTGGGTGTGACAAGTGGGATTTGCACTGGAGGAAATCTGTGCAGCCTTCACAAAATAAGTGCATTGATCTAATTATGATACAGATTATAATATCAGTCATATCCTGAGTTTTTTACACTTGCATACCATTTAAATGACAGATTTTCAGTTTTATAAGATTTTAAGTCATACTTAAGATGTATATAAGATATCTTTGTGTTTTTTATTACTAAGACCTTAACTTGATTAAGCTCTGCTCCAAGGTAGTGCATGATTTGAGAGAAGGACCATGCCTCTGAATGTTTCATCCTAAAACACAAAATTGTCATAGGCAGGAGGATTATTCGTAGAGACTCAGTTAATCTCCTTACAGTAAAAACGGAATTTATATACCGAGAGGGATTACAAAAGAAAATGCTGTTTGTTCCAATACTCATGTGTTACATTACATTTTTAATACCTCTCAACATATTTCGAAACAGTTACATTCTAGTTTGAGTCTCTTATGAAAGACTTGTTTACTTTTCTTATTTCTCTCAACCTTCTGTTGAATTAGCCCCAGCAGGTGCATATTTCACATCTTTTAGATTCTTCTGCGGGATATTTTTTCCAAAATCCTACTACAACGTAGGAACTGCTTTGAATTCCCTCCCTGACCACAAAGTAAGTCCAAAATACTTTCAAGGGAGTTAGCAATCTGTATTTATCTGCTACTTTAAAGTATATTTGTATTCTGTAAGTATAACAAGTTTACTTTTTATTCTATTTTTATTTAGGTTTTGTACAACAGAGTTAAATTTGTTAATACAATTAGAGCTAAAATTAATTTCTCATTTCAAGAGATTGGATGAGGGGAGAATCTGCAATGTTTAAATTGATTTTAAAGGTAAAACTCTTTTCAATAGTATACAAAAAAAAGCCTACGCTATGTGCATACAACAAGTAATGTGGAATAACCGACCAGTCCGTTATTACAGTCAGCACTTTACAAAAAGAGGTGGGGCCGATAAAGGAACTTAGAGATTGTGGTAGCCTTTCGCTTTGTGATGCCACACCTATTTAGTTCAGTGAGCAAACAAAGGATATGCTCAGGAGCTCAAGAAGCGCTGATTAATATTTAAATTAATTAATTATTGAAATTAATCTTTCTCCTCTTGCAATATTCATCTGTGGTCTGATTATTTTTCTGCACCGTTATTCAGTTGATTCTGTTTCCTCAAGCGGCTGCATTGTCCATAGGTCTTTTTATGATTTTTCTGCCCTTTTCAGCATACAGAAAGGTCTGAGGTATTGTTGGGAATATCTGAGTGAAATAAAACCAATTGCAGTTTTTTGCACTTGTTCAAAAATCCTATATATGTAGTGTAATACTACTTTGACATTATGCACTTCTACTGTTGACTCATTTCTGGGTTTATAGTAGCTGTTGGTTTAATGTGTTTTGAGTTCCCTAAAGTGATACTTCTGCAATCACAACAAAACATGAAAAGTGAGCTGAACACAGATCCATCTCTCGACAAGGAGCTGTCGGTGGTTTAGTATCTATTTCTCTTCAGGTGGTGAGGTTGCAAAGAAAAAGAAGACTGTTTTATTCTTTTCCCCTAATAACACTTGTTTCTGAGCTAAAAACATAATCTTACAGCATTCCAACATGATGGGTTTGGTTTCTACTAATAGTGCTGATTGTTTCTTAGATATGCTGTCAGGCTCTTCCTGTAAAAATCTTGAAATTCCCAGTGCTCAAATGTTGTGTTTATATATAGCAGTGAAAACCAAAGTTATTTTTTTCAGTGTCCTAAGTGTATTTATTTTTTGACAAAATTACATTTGTTTTTTTCCTGCTTCCATGTTAAATACGTTTTACATCACTAGTCACCTAACTCATTTATGCTGTTGCTTTTTTGTTTTCCTTTCAACATAAACTGCTCACTGTCAGTCCCTTGTCCAGAGATCTTTTCACATAAATTTCTGGTATCAATCTGTCAGTGGTTGCTGTTTGATGGAAGATGAGAAGATACGAAACACTGCCAAGCTCAATTAGAGATGAGTGAACTGATATCTCTAAAGGCCTATAAATGTGAGTTCTGTTTATGTACATCTAGGAAAGCAAGTTAAGCAAGCCAGTCCAGCTTTCACACTTGTTCATATTGCATGCATCTGTACATCCATAATGAATGATTCGAATATCCAAGAGCTCCTGTTTCAGATCTCATGGAAACAATATTCCCAATTTAGAATGCTCATATGGGTTTTAGTGGAAAGACTGAGCACAGAGAAGTCGACTTTAATACCTTCAGGCATTCTGTATCTTGTTAATCTTCATCCAAATAGTGGTGATTTCAGAAGAATAAATTGGTATTATAAATATATTACATTTGACAAAAATATATGGTCTTCTAGACTAGGTACAAGTTTAGTTAATTTAGCGTAGAGATAAAAATAGCTTGTTTAAGGATTGTGCGAAGGGTTGTGTTTTAATGTATGATATTAATATAAACATGGATTTTAATTAATATTTCCAGGGGTAGCGGAATGTTCTCATTAGATTGTGGAAACTAGCATGGTTCTAGAGAAATGCATTTTTGGAATGAATTTTGAGGATTAAGCTCTGCGGTCAAATCCACAAGACAAACATTTTTTTTTGTTTCTGCTTTTCTTGCTCAAATAAGACAGTTTGCATTGTTGCTCAGTCAGGTGAATGCAGGTAATTAGTTCTGAAGCACAAAACAGGCAGCACTTTGAGGCATCAGTCAGAAATGATTGCGCTCTAGGTT